ACTTTTATACTTTTGCTTGCGTGCATGGATTTTAATGTAATTACGTCTCGTTCTACCAGAAGATATACAAGGAGAAAGATAGGAGTGAAGGGGATGGTGATTTCTGATCACATAACACCTGTCAGTAGTTTGCATGACTTTAGATGCTTATCCACAACCATAATAATTATGACCTAGGAAGATTCACCACACAACTTGCTAACTGCCTTCATCACTCTCCGCAATACAGCAAAGATTTTTCTCAAAAGCCCGGGAGAGAATGATGGAGAACAGTGAAGAATAATAGGTAATATGCAAGAATCGACAAAATGTAAGAGTAAATGACGAGTAATCCCAAGAGCACGGAGTCTCTTTATGTTGTAAGTCAGACGGACAACTTTCTTCGATAACAATAAAACATGAGAAGACCAAGAAAGATCAGAGGAAAAAGTAACACCAAGATAATTGACCTTCGAAACTGTGGAGTGGAAAAACAGTAGGATCAAACAACATACCATCTGAAGCATTAAAGTCAGACATTGAAGTGACATCAAAGATGCTTCACATCCTATTAAGAAAGATTTGGAAGAAAGAACAAGTGCAGACAGGATGGGAAGAAGGACACTTCATCAAGATACCAAAGAAGAGAAATCTGAGCAAATGTGGCAACTACAGTGGCATCACACTACTAACGGTACCGGGAAGCTTCTCAACAGAATGTTGTTGAATCGAATGAAAGGTTCAGTAGACGCCATCTCTGAGATCAACAGGTTGGATTCCGTAAAGATCGATCGTGTACAAACCACATCGCAACATTACGGATCGCAGTTCAACAACTCGCAGATGCATTCCAAATGAAGACCAGTGTCAGAAAAGGCCGCTCATTCTCTTACCTTCTCCCCATTCTGTTGGTCGACTGAGTTATAAAGACTTCCACATCTCAGGCGAAGCACCGAACACAATGGACAGCTCGGATGTGGCTGCACGATTTACACTACTCAGATGACCTAGCTCCTCTATCCCATACACACCAACAAATGCAGGTGAGGACAGCCAGTGAAGCAGCATATTCTGTAACGATAGGCCTCAACATACACAAGGAAGAAGTCAAATCCTAAAGTTCAACACAACGAGCACTAACCAAATCACACTTGATGAAGAAGCTATAGAAGAGGTGGAAAGCTCCATGTACCTGAGCAGTATCATTGATAAACAAGGAGGATGTGATGCAAATATAAAGGCAAGGATTAGCAAAGCGAGACCGACATTCCTACAACTGAACAAAATGTGGAACTCAAAGCATCTGCCAGCCAACATCCAAGTCAGAATCTTCAATACGAACGTGAGGAAAGTGCTATTATACTGAGATGAAACTTGGAGAACTACTACAACCATCATCAACAGTGTACAGGTATTTGTGAACAATCGTCTACGCAACGTCGACTGGACGTTCGTTTGTCGGGTATCATCAGCAAAACTCCACTGTGGGAGAGAATAAACCAGCTTCCATCTGAAGAGGAAATTAGGAGAAGATGCTGAAGATGGATAGCACATAGATTGAGGAAACCAACAAACTGCTTCATCTTCGTCAGATGTGTTACACAACATGCTAGACACATTTCTCTCCTACACATAACGTCGGTTTCAGCTGGTGGATTTTAATTGTTCGGCTAAACACAGGTGCCGTATGCTAACTCTACGAACCAGCTTTCTATTGAATGGCATGGTAGTTTTATGAAATTCAGCTGCAATCGTGTAAACTGCTTCTTTCCATCCAAAGCCCAACTCTACAATATGTATATCTATGATTTGTATACCACAATGGAGATATAACTGATGTTATTCATTAACAGTAACTCTACTCTATAAATTTCATTCATTAAAAACCTTCATACTAACAAAACAACTTTCCACTCCTTTAATGTTACCCTACTTTAATTCTTTGAAATGTTAATTAGCTCTATTTATTATCATGCAACGTATACTAAATAGTTGACAGACGTTAAATAAAATGTTTTTAAACCTTAACATACATCGTTGGCATTATACTAAATCATATGTTATATATTGAGTAAGTCTGGGTATCCATCAATAAATTTAAGATGTTTAGTTACTCATAAACATGTCAACCTCAACATATCTGCAATCTAAAATTTGATAACTTAAGAAATGACAATGCTCAAAGTGAATAAATCATAAACATATAAGTAAAACACTTACATTACACAATTAGTTGTTATCATTCCGTCAACCAATTAGATTTACACCATGCTATTTTTAGTAAAGCGACTGATCATACTAATTCTTTACAAAAACAGAAAGAAAGACTACTAATTCATAATAATACAAAATGCCTTAAGTATAAGAATCAGTGATTGAAAACAAAAATAAATTATATTCATGACTGGTATTAATTACTTAATGTAGAGTTTTGTTGAATAAATCAGGAATTCCGTTATCACTTTTATTTAATGAGAAGACTTATAATTAGACACATTTTTCCTCTTAACGACTTTCAAGTATCAATAGTCGAATATGTAAGGATTGTTGGATATCATGAACATTCCATTTTAAAAGTAAAATGTCAATCTGGTGGATGCAACGTTTGGTCAATAAACACAGATGATTGTATTAATAAGACTTTGTAATTTCCCGTTAGTGATATTTTGTACTACAATTTATCAGTCTGTGTTGATAAATATAAGCATTCTGAGTCAATTGTCTCGTTATAGTTTTACGTCATAAGTTGTGGCACATTTGACACATTGCTAGCTGTGGAATCTTTAGGACACACGCTTAAACATCAACACTAGGACGCGTGTACACAAAGCTGGGAAGTCCAAAAAAGAACGGAACTCATGTTCTGGATTCCATTGCGAGTCACATGCTAAATATATCTCAACAACTGACTAAATTTGAGTAGACTGAGTACAAACCGATGTTTCGAAACATTTTTGACCTCAGAATAGTAATCAAACTAGTTGGATATATGGAAATACTTGATTAACTAAGACATCGTATCAGCAGCAATAAACTGCTTGATAACTAATCTCAACATGAATACAGAAACTGTGTTTGAAAGTCATCACGGAAACAACAATATACTGACCTACGATTCACTGTCTACTGATACAGTAACTTCATTGAAACTACAAGGCTGAATTACTTGCCTGATGAAAGCATGCAAAATCTATTTTACTGATGGTTTTCGAGATGCATTTCATCTGTGATGGACTACTAACAGTTGGGAGAGAAGTTAGCATGATGAATTGCTTAGTGAAACTTGGATCTACTAAGATGGTTCCTCAAATTAATCAACCACCTTGAATAGTGTTCGTGCATTATAATGTCTTCAGTATTTTAAACTGGGACTCACTGAAGAGTAGAAATCAGTGGTGTATTACTTAGAATGACATGCCTCATATTCAAATGCAGATATCCAGATTTGTTTACAATATTATAGAAGATTAATCAAAAAAGAAATAGCCAGACACTCGATGAGTAATTATCCTAAATTTGTCATATCATTTTAGTTTATTCAAACATTTCGTCTATATTCTCAAATTCTCATAAGTGATGTTTCATTTTCCTACCTACACGATGCTGAATAAGCTTTGAAATCGTTCTATTTATTCCGTTTTAAAATATAATACTAGTCACACTGTTGAATATAGTTGAGATAAATGTGCTTAATAGTGACTAGCTTCGAGAGGGAATTTCCTAGGTTCTAGTGAGAATCTGCAATCAATGGAGCTAATCTATGCCAAGTGTGATGCAGTTGCCCACCGAAGATAATAGAAGATGGTCACGCAATTTTGTGAATGGATTAAGTTTAAGCATTAACACCGTTGGGTGTCGACTCAGTGGTCTAAATGTTGCGCGTCCACGAACAAGCCTGAAGGCTCTGGGTTCTATTCCCACGTACTGGATCGTAGATACTTACTGCTGAGAAGTTCCATACTCAGATGAGTCCGCCGTTCAATGCTTTCAAGTTTTCAATGGTGGTATAACTTAGATAGGTTCATGATTTAAATGCAGTTCAACAATCTCCACACACCAAAACTGAAAAATTCAGTGAATTGATTGAAGTTAGTAATATAAACCATTGAGTTCCAATTCTGATCTAAATGCTAGACGCTTGCTGTGAAGCCTGAAAACATGAATTCGATCCAGTTAGGATCTCCGAAGCTCACTGTGAAGGAGTCCTCATTTCCAGTGCTTTTCTAATGGAAATCAACCCTTAATGTAGAACTTCAAACTCAACAATCTACACATTACCTCATGAGAGATTCCTCAGAGTTATGTCGTCTGATTTCATCACCAAGTATTTTCAATGGGATTACTAGTAGCTGTAGCCTCTACTCGTCTACTCTTTACGATTGAATTTTAACACACAAATCCTAGCAAATCGTAATCATATGATTGATATTTTGTATCAGATTCCAAACTATTATTTCCTAAGCTGTTTATAGTTTATGCGAAGTTTTGAAACAAGGTGAATTCACTTTATTCTGAAAATTTGGTTCATTTATTGTTCATAGTTAAATTCTGTTTTCTTTGTTACATTTAACTAACAATCATTTTTAGAAACCTAAATTGTCATAGTCTTTCATCAAAATAAGTAGAAAGTAAGATTTACTGAAGAATTCCAATTTGAGGTAAAGAAAAATTAGAGCGCAGTTACTGAAGATCCTAGACTATTAAATAATCATCCTGTTTTTATTCATATATTCACAGTAATACTAATTTATGGTAGAAGCGACTGAATTGCACTTTCTTCAATCTTATGATCACTAAGATGACTTACATGTCTATTATACTGGAGAAAAAGTGAAATAATTTTTTTTTATTTACACCGGATTATTTAATTAATTTTATTTTTATCAATGATGATGAGAGATTTTCACATTTTTAAACATTTGTCTCAGTTCACCAAGCAACAGTTCTACTGTTTATTAGTTAATTTTAAGTTATATGCGTAATGATAAAATATTGTGTTTATTTTTTCAAACTTTGAACAGATTTGCAACATTCGCCAACCAATAGACTTTTCACTTGAAGAAAAGTTAGCAGCACAAAATTTGTCAGAGAAATCACAAGTGTTAACTAAACTCAAAGAAAGAGATTTAGATTTAAAGGAAATATCACAAATTAAATTATTAAAGACTCTTTCAAATCGCCGTTCCCATATTGATTGTGCTTCAATGCAAGAAGCTAGACGAATCGCTTTTAACAATTACTATGAAAAAATATTATCTAGACAATGTTTAAATTTAACTTCATACTCGAAAGAACTATACAATGAAGAGGATGAAGACATCACTTTATTAAAAGAGAAATTGGTAACTATGGAGCAAACTTATTCACAAATTCAAACTGAAGCATCAACCAAGAAGAATTTAGGAAAAACAAGCAAAGAAAAACTCGCAAAACACCGCAAAACTGATAAAAAGCAAAAATTACTACAAGCAAGTGAAGACCTTTCTTTTGTAAAACCCCAAGAGACGATTAAATTACCGATAATTACTAATAATAAAGAGTCGGATTTACTTCTTAATCAAAGGACAAATGGATTTTTTCCAAAGGTTATTCTACTTGAAAGTGGACGTTCAAAGTATGGCTGGGCGCCTAATTCTTTACTTCTTCGCAAATATTATTCAGGAATAACTCACTCAGGAGTAGATGATAAAAGAAATGCGAATGAAGTCAACTGGGCTGACGTTGAAGCAAGATTAGCTAGGTCGGGTATTAACGGATTGCAAAGTACACTAACTTCGGACTCGAGTATAGGTTGGATAGTGGAGTCAGACAAAGAATTAACAATGTTCAGTAAAGAAATGAGTGACGGGGATATAACCGATGAGAATACAGATAAAAAGTTACTTGCAAGTAGATTCCGGGATATAAACAACCCAATGAATACTTTATTTAGTATATCGACGTTACAAAATGAGATAAGTACTGAGATCGAACAAAGTCAAATGTCTATAACTGAAAAGTCAACACCATCTTCAAAAAAACGTGAAGCACTAGCCAAAAGTGATCTTAAGCAATCTTATTTGAAGGAAACAGATTTATTGTCTAATTTAATTGAAAGACAAGCACCTGGTCGTCCAAAATATGAACGAGAAAATACTGTTTTCTTGACAGAATTCAGAAATACAGATTCTCCAGGGAAAATCGACATATTTGTACTGCCTGAGTTCTTGCAATCCTTTAGAAATTCTAGATGGCTGTCTATTATGGGATTACTAAATGGTCAAGAACCTGAAGGATGGTCTGATTTTAATGCAGGTTCTAACGTTGACTGCTTTATTCATTGGCTGTTTTGGACAAATATTATACCAAAACTATGCTTACAAGCAACTTCACCATCTACAGAGGATGAAGATCCGTATCTTTGTCAGACTATTTCCCAATTTTGTACAGATTTTAAAACACTTTACACAGATCATCAGTTATCTGACAAGTACATTCCCGAATTACATCATTGCCTGACAGGATGCGTAATAAATGAATTAGGAAAAACAGTAGAATTCAAAGAATGGAAAATGTTGGAAGCAGTGAGCACACTTTTGATTACACTTGGTTTCCACGATATTGATACAGTGGTTATCTTACTAGTTTTGTATGTGAACGTTCTACTAAACACCGAGAAAAACGATCCACAGGTCCCCGGAGAAATTAAAAATGCTAACTTAACACACTATATTCATCGTTCATTACAGTCACTTGGATTTCAAATTAAATATTGCAATTATCTTGAAGAAGAGCTAAGTAAACTAGGAAATATCGAAAGAAATGTGAAAATCACTCCACCAAAAAAAGTTATCCATCTACATGATTGTATTCATTTGGTGGAGAACATTGAAATATTAAACTGTTGGATTAAATTTTACAGATTATTATCTGTGTGGCTTGAGAATTGGTTCAGACAAAGCAGTGAAATAGTATCAAAGGTTTGTTGAAACTTTACCTCGTTCAAACATAGTTTTTTGTTCATTCATTTTTGTATCAGTTGTTTGAATATTCCCATTGATGTTTAGGATTGCAACTGATCAGTCCCTTATTAGCATATGTGTATCCTATGCGGGTTGCCTCGATATTACCTCTAGTCATAAGTATTATAAGCAAAGATGGATGATGGTTAGGATTGGGATCTAGTAAGTGCGTTTCGTCCCATCTTGGATTCATCAGCTGGGTGTACCTGCATCCCATATTTGGTGTTCACTCGGAAACTCGAACCCAGTACAGTTCGATTCAAATGCCATTGCGTTATTCACAGTAGCTAAATAGATAACACGATGGCATTTGAATCGAACAGTACTGAGTTTGAGTTTCCGAGTGAACACCAAATATGGGATGCAGGTACACCCAGCTGATGAATTCAAAATGGGACGAAACGCACTTACTAGATGCCACTCCTAGCCACCATCCATTTCTGCTTGTAGACTTCTTTGTGGTAATTCACGCTTAGACTAATGATTGAGGATGCCAAATGAAGGACGTTTAGGAAATTTGTTGACCAGACTCATGTTTTTCAAACAATGCCGATCGCCATAAGCCCATAAGGGTCGTTACTGATGGCCTGTCTTAAACGATAAAAATGACTTTTGAATTCGGATCAACACAACGTTTCTATTAATATATATTCAAATCAGTTGATTGCATCCAGCCATGTGAATTTTCCAGTGACCTATTGAGTTATAACCACGTAAATATTTCTACATCTTACTTACATCCTTTGTGACACCTGTTACCCCTCATGGCCCATAGATAGCCGAGAATCTTTAGACAAACCAACTCTGTCCTATGCTCTCTTTTTCAGTTGCTTCTAAGTACCAATCGTTCTTTTGATAGCTGCCTCCAATTCATTGAGCATTGTGTTCTTTAGCTTATATTTTTTCCTTTGCGTTTAGGATTCCAAATTAGCACTTGCCTCGTGATGCAGATTGATGATTTCCTCAATGTACGACCTATCCAGCGTCTTCTCCTAACTTCGATAGAAGAATGTAAAGTTGTTTTGTTAGTATGAAGGTTTTTAATGAATGAAATTTATAGAGTAGAGTTACTGTTAATGAATAACATCAGTTATATCTCCATTGTGGTATACAAATCATAGATATACATATTGTAGAGTTGGGCTTTGGATGGAAAGAAGCAGTTTACACGATTGCAGCTGAATTTCATAAAACTACCATGCCATTCAATAGAAAGCTGGTTCGTAGAGTTAGCATACGGCACCTGTGTTTAGCCGAACAATTAAAATCCACCAGCTGAAACCGACGTTATGTGTAGGAGAGAAATGTGTCTAGCATGTTGTGTAACACATCTGACGAAGATGAAGCAGTTTGTTGGTTTCCTCAATCTATGTGCTATCCATCTTCAGCATCTTCTCCTAATTTCCTCTTCAGATGGAAGCTGGTTTATTCTCTCCCACAGTGGAGTTTTGCTGATGATACCCGACAAACGAACGTCCAGTCGACGTTGCGTAGACGATTGTTCACAAATACCTGTACACTGTTGATGATGGTTGTAGTAGTTCTCCAAGTTTCATCTCAGTATAATAGCACTTTCCTCACGTTCGTATTGAAGATTCTGACTTGGATGTTGGCTGGCAGATGCTTTGAGTTCCACATTTTGTTCAGTTGTAGGAATGTCGGTCTCGCTTTGCTAATCCTTGCCTTTATATTTGCATCACATCCTCCTTGTTTATCAATGATACTGCTCAGGTACATGGAGCTTTCCACCTCTTCTATAGCTTCTTCATCAAGTGTGATTTGGTTAGTGCTCGTTGTGTTGAACTTTAGGATTTGACTTCTTCCTTGTGTATGTTGAGGCCTATCGTTACAGAATATGCTGCTTCACTGGCTGTCCTCACCTGCATTTGTTGGTGTGTATGGGATAGAGGAGCTAGGTCATCTGAGTAGTGTAAATCGTGCAGCCACATCCGAGCTGTCCATTGTGTTCGGTGCTTCGCCTGAGATGTGGAAGTCTTTATAACTCAGTCGACCAACAGAATGGGGAGAAGGTAAGAGAATGAGCGGCCTTTTCTGACACTGGTCTTCATTTGGAATGCATCTGCGAGTTGTTGAACTGCGATCCGTAATGTTGCGATGTGGTTTGTACACGATCGATCTTTACGGAATCCAACCTGTTGATCTCAGAGATGGCGTCTACTGAACCTTTCATTCGATTCAACAACATTCTGTTGAGAAGCTTCCCGGTACCGTTAGTAGTGTGATGCCACTGTAGTTGCCACATTTGCTCAGATTTCTCTTCTTTGGTATCTTGATGAAGTGTCCTTCTTCCCATCCTGTCTGCACTTGTTCTTTCTTCCAAATCTTTCTTAATAGGATGTGAAGCATCTTTGATGTCACTTCAATGTCTGACTTTAATGCTTCAGATGGTATGTTGTTTGATCCTACTGTTTTTCCACTCCACAGTTTCGAAGGTCAATTATCTTGGTGTTACTTTTTCCTCTGATCTTTCTTGGTCTTCTCATGTTTTATTGTTATCGAAGAAAGTTGTCCGTCTGACTTACAACATAAAGAGACTCCGTGCTCTTGGGATTACTCGTCATTTACTCTTACATTTTGTCGATTCTTGCATATTACCTATTATTCTTCACTGTTCTCCATCATTCTCTCCCGGGCTTTTGAGAAAAATCTTTGCTGTATTGCGGAGAGTGATGAAGGCAGTTAGCAAGTTGTGTGGTGAATCTTCCTAGGTCATAATTATTATGGTTGTGGATAAGCATCTAAAGTCATGCAAACTACTGACAGGTGTTATGTGATCAGAAATCACCATCCCCTTCACTCCTATCTTTCTCCTTGTATATCTTCTGGTAGAACGAGACGTAATTACATTAAAATCCATGCACGCAAGCAAAAGTATAAAAGTTCTATAGTACCTTACCTAGCAAATAACTCCGTCTGTAGGTCTTCTAGATTTACTGCCGGTCCCAAGCCTGGGTAAAGGAGGAGGTTTAGGGATGGCATTAGTGGCCCCATCCCGTAGAAAACTAACTCGCCAAAACATGCTGACCAAAAAAATAATTCAAACCATTTAAACTCTGCCCTGGGTGTTAGAAGGTGTTCATTCAGAAGAACTAGAATGCCTCATGGTGAAAGTCAAGTTCCTTCGGAAGCCACAAGGCTGACGCCCTTTCTAAACACCAGAGCAACAATTTTTGTAGGTACATGGAACGTCCGAACAATGTGAGAGACCGGGAAGACCAGTCAAATTACAACGGGAATGAGGAGATACAACTTGGTAGTACTGGGAATCAGCGAAATGCATTGGACCCAAGCTGGACAACAAAAGCTAAATACGGGAGAGATGCTACTATACTCCGGACACGAAGAAGAAAATGCTCCACACACGCAGGGAGTCGCTCTTATGCTGTCCAAAGTAGCACGAAATGCACTTGTAGGATGGGAATTTAAGGGATCCAGAATCATCAAAGCATCCTTCAAAACAAGGAAGGAGGGGATCTTAATGAATATTATCCAATGTTATGCACCCACCAATGATAGCAACGACGACATTAAAGATCAATTCTACGAGCGGCTGCAGTCAATCATAGAGAAGTGCCCAAGAAAGGACCTCACCATTCTGATGAGTGATCTAAATGCCAAAGTCGGAATAGACAACACTGGATATGAAGATATCATGAGACGAGATGAACTGGGAGAGAGAAACGAAAATGGGGAAAGATTTGCAAATCTATGTGCATTCAACAAATTGGTCATAGGTGGCACAATATTTCCACACAAACGTATACACAAAGCTACATGGATCTCACCGGACCACATCGCAGAGAACCAGATAGATCATATTTGCATCAATAAAAGGTTCAGAAGGCAATGGAGGATGTGAGAAGCAGGAGAGGAGCTGACATGGCTTCAGATCACTAACTAGTTGTGACCAAATTAAAACTGAAGCTAAAGAAGAACTGGACAACTGGAAATACAGCACTACAAATGTTCAATACAGCCTTCCTTCGAGATACTGACAAACTCAATAAATTCAAGATAACTCTCAACAACAGGTTTCAAGTCTTACAGGATCTACTGAAGAAAGAAGAAACTACTATGGAGGAAAACTGGAAAGGTATCAAAGAAGCATTAACTTCAACGTGTAAAGAGGTTCTGAGCCTAAAGAAGCATCATCATAAGGAATGGATCTCTTCAACTCGGAGGACAGAGCTTAAATGGCTTATTTGTTTTTTCTTGTTAGCGTATTGTAGCAGGATTGTTTTCTAAGTGATAGGGATGCTGACTTCATGCCAGATCCTCGTCTTTCACGGAGGCTTGAAATCGGCAGTAACCCTAGAAATGTACAGGCGGAGTTATTTCTACGTCAGATAGAGTTTGATTGGAAATCTGAATCAAACATCGTTAAATAAAATCATTTCAATATCAGATTTTCCGAGATAAGCATCCACTCAACATTAAAATACTTTAATATTAGGCAAGTTTATGATAAATAAATTACCTCATAGATTTCATAGATGACTGTTATTACCAAAATGATAAATCTGAATGATTCTAATAGTTTGATTGTATAAATATGAACCATGACTGAATTTTGATCTGACTTACCTTAGTATAACATATGACTATCTTAATTGTCTGACTTATTTAAAACATATCAGTCGGTTAGTCAAACGTAACGTAGAACCTGGAACATGCGTACGTCGGTTCGAGTTGCCATCAAATAATTGTTTGGGTTTTGGTGCAGAATACATTGTATAATTATTTCTCAATTTACACAAACTCTCTATATAGCTTTGTGACTGATTTCCTTACAAGTGATCTACAGATATAAATGAAATCTGATGCATAAAGATCGACCCAAGAAAACTTGGTCATTAAATTAGCTATTAAAGTGTTCAATTGATTACTATCTTTAGATGGTCCACATTAAAGTTAGTTGCAAGGAATGCAACTAATTATAATTTTTCATTCACTTTTAATAGGTTTTTTATCATTTTGCTTACAAATGAATAAAAGTTTACAAACTTTTCTCATCAAGTTACTTTCTCGTGTTCATAAAAACCTTTGGATAGAAAACAGAACATGATTTTGTATGGATTTCTCATAGTTTACAGATAATCATTAATAGTTTATGATATTTATAAAATTAAATAAGGCATTATGATTATTAGTAAAATAGAGGATTCACGTTTCATCCTATTCAGAACTCATTAGCTGGTTAAACATATACTACAATATTGACATCTACACTCGAAACCACTACTAATTATTTTAAAATTCAATATTTTTAACCCGAATATTGAGTCATGATAGCCACTAAGATATTCAGCAGATGTTGCATATTAATAATTACTTGTTAGTTTGTTTCTTTTTCCGCTAGTAAACAACGCTTTGAATCAATAAGGTACACAAATTTATCACAAAAATAACAATAACTTGAATATGTCAACTCATGATGCTTGCGAATCAAGTAATTTTCTAATGTTACAACAATGATTAAAATATCCAGTCCATAGAATCTTATATCTTTAACAAAGCGTATATTAAAGCTATACAAATTCATTAAATAGTTTCTTATTATTTCATATAATTAATGAATTTCTGCCTTGTATAATTCATTCAGAATAAATCTTCCAAACTTGGAAATCAATTAAAAAGTATTCTACATACAACAAATAATTCAGCGACTAAAATTAAATCTATAAATAGAGAAGTGAAATGGTCAAAAAATACCAATGAGTTTCGTGAAGAATTCATTACAAGTGATGGTATACAAGCTTTAAATACATTTGTTAATTGGTGTCATGAACAAAGATTATTGAAATTACGTGAACAAGCTAAAGTAGAACAATTACATTTTGATAAATTGAAACAACAGCTTAATGAAACTGAAAAAGAAACTGTCATTCAAATGAAAAATTTTAACAATGATGATGATATTCAACAGCATAAAGTGGTTATGCTATTACCACCATTGAATGAATTGGAAAGATGTGTTGTACGTTTAGGTGAATCACATGTAACTGAAAGACGTAAATGTTGTGTAAGTTATGTCTATTAACTGACATGTAGTAAATCCTATTTACTATGTACATTAAATCTATGTTCCATTAGTTAGTGTAATTCATGTACCGAGTGTATATATTAATATCACTGTGTTTGAACTACACTTTAGTTGTAAAGACAGGTAATACTATTTCCAGATAACAGAACTAAGTTAGGTAAAGCTAACGTTGAACCTGTGATCTAATACTTGGTATTAAAGTACATTAACTATTAAGTAAAAAGTTTTTGACAATATACTATATCTATCTTGTAACATAAGCATTAACATAGTTGACGTTGAGAAAAATAGGAATTATATCGATGAAGCTATCTTTCAACGAATTCATTTTCTTAGAATTTACAGCCACATTATATGTCCAACTCCAACCTCAAGAAGTATCCGTCAAGGCTGTCTACTTTCTCCATTTTTGTTTAATTTCATTACAGACATGCTGATGGAAATAACGCTCTTGTCGATTGAACTTTTTGGCATTGATCTCCTATCGGGAGGTCCACTTATAGACTTCGAATACGCAGATGATATAGTCCTATTTGGTGAAGACGCTGATAAAATGCAGTCTTTTGTAGCAATGAGAAACAACACCAGAATATTTGGGATGCGCTTCTCCCCCTGTAAATGCAAGTTTTTGCTTCAGGACTGGCCTAAGTCAACACCTGAACTAAGGATAGGGAGTGAAGCAGGCGAACGCGTTGGCAACTTCACTTATCTTGGAAATCTAATCAGCCGTAATGGGTTGGTGTCTGACGAAACCTCAGCACGGACTTGAAATGCTAGTTTGGCTTTTGTCAACTTACGTCACCTATCGCGAAGGCGAGATATCCGTCTATCAATAAAAGGATTAGCATACTGCGCAGCGGTTCGTTCTGTTTTAATTTACGGCAGCGAAATATGGCCATTAAGATTAGAAGATACTCGTTAGATACTAGTATTTGACCACAGATGCCTTAGAAATATTGCTGGCATCTGCTGGGATTATCGTGTAAGTAATAGTGAGGTTAGACGCATGGTATTAGGGAATGATGGTAAGTAAGTTGATAAAGTTGTGAATCTACATCAACTGAGATGGTTAGGCCACGTGTTGCATATGCCTAGACACCGATTACCACGGCATACAATCCTGAGCAGTGTTGGGGACGGTTGGAAGAAAGTTAGTGGCGGCCAAACCAAAACGTGGAAACAGTGCTTGAAGTCTTTAAATTCTAATCCTAGACATGTTGGTAGATGCAGACTACTTGGTTGGGGTCCACGTGACTATCGTAACCAATGGTTGGAGACTTTGGGTGACATAACTGAGAATCGGTCACAACGGCGTAGTTGTATACCCACTCTGTCTTCCTTTAAACTATGAGATTAAAATTATTTCACATCTTTCTTTCTGTACTATATCGTTACATAAAATCCTTCCTTTATATGTATCACTATTGAGTTAACCGCTTCTGTGCATCCAGTGTTAATCTTGATGTGCTAATAAGATGTGGCAACTTGGACCGATGCATGTATATGCCTGGCCCGACGTTGTAACTGACTGGCTGACTCATCAAGATACAAAAGAGAGATCTGAGCAAATGTGGCAACTACAGTGGCATCACACTACTAACGGTACCGGGAAGCTTCTCAACAGAATGTTGTTGAATCGAATGAAAGGTTCAGTAGACGCCATCTCTGAGATCAACAGGTTGGATTCCGTAAAGATCGATCGTGTACAAACCACATCGCAACATTACGGATCGCAGTTCAACAACTCGCAGATGCATTCCAAATGAAGACCAGTGTCAGAAAAGGCCGCTCATTCTCTTACCTTCTCCCCATTCTGTTGGTCGACTGAGTTATAAAGACTTCCACATCTCAGGCGAAGCACCGAACACAATGGACAGCTCGGATGTGGCTGCACGATTTACACTACTCAGATGACCTAGCTCCTCTATCCCATACACACCAACAAATGCAGGTGAGGACAGCCAGTGAAGCAGCATATTCTGTAACGATAGGCCTCAACATACACAAGGAAGAAGTCAAATCCTAAAGTTCAACACAACGAGCACTAACCAAATCACACTTACGATTCATTGTCTACTGATACAGTAACTTCATTGAAACTACAAGGCTGAATTACTTGCCTGATGAAAGCATGCAAAATCTATTTTACTGATGGTTTTCGAGATGCATTTCATCTGTGATGGACTACTAACAGTTGGGAGAGAAGTTAGCATGATGAATTGCTTAGTGAAACTTGGATCTACTAAGATGGTTCCTCAAATTAATCAACCACCTTGAATAGTGTTCGTGCATTATAATGTCTTCAGTATTTTAAACTGGGACTCACTGAAGAGTAGAAATCAGTGGTGTATTACTTAGAATGACATGCCTCATATTCAAATGCAGATATCCAGATTTGTTTACAATATTATAGAAGATTAATCAAAAAAGAAATAGCCAGACACTCGATGAGTAATTATCCTAAATTTGTCATATCATTTTAGTTTATTCAAACATTTCGTCTATATTCTCAAATTCTCATAAGTGATGTTTCATTTTCCTACCTACACGATGCTGAATAAGCTTTGAAATCGTTCTATTTATTCCGTTTTAAAATATAATACTAGTCACACTGTTGAATATAGTTGAGATAAATGTGCTTAATAGTGACTAGCTTCGAGAGGGAATTTCCTAGGTTCTAGTGAGAATCTGCAATCAATGGAGCTAATCTATGCCAAGTGTGATGCAGTTGCCCACCGAAGATAATAGAAGATGGTCACGCAATTTTGTGAATGGATTAAGTTTAAGCATTAACACCGTTGGGTGTCGACTCAGTGGTCTAAATGTTGCGCGTCCACGAACAAGCCTGAAGGCTCTGGGTTCTATTCCCACGTACTGGATCGTAGATACTTACTGCTGAGAAGTTCCATACTCAGATGAGTCCGCCGTTCAATGCTTTCAAGTTTTCAATGGTGGTATAACTTAGATAGGTTCATGATTTAAATGCAGTTTAACAATCTCCACAACCTCATACTTATATACGAGGACCTTTCACGATTGACAACGACAATCTCAAAACATGTTACTCTATGATTTTCATGCAACCTCGTAGATTTGAATTTTCGATCAATCGGAAATCTTACATAAAATGTCTTATTGCAAAACATGTTGGAATACCGGTAATTTCCATAGTGTGTGGAGCTCGTAGAGATTCTTGAATTTTATATTTTACGTCATAAATTAACTCTAGTTAGGCAACGAGTAGAACCAGGAAGCACTGGACAATTTTTCCGTCCCAATATGTAACTCCTCAGCATCATGGATCTCTGACAGTTATCCACTGATAACGTTAGAAGATAATTACGCAAGGTAGTAAATTAATTAAGATTACATATGTAGACTATTGGTTGCCGACTCAGTGGTCTAGAGGTTAAGCGTTCACAGCGAGATCTGATGATCTGAAGTTGAATCGCTGGTACGGTCGTAGACGGTGTTATGTCTGCCTGCTGAATGCCTAACTGATTTGTGATTAGTGGTGAAACCCCGAATCCAAGGAAGCATAGTGAGAACACCATGGCTGGTGATAAGTATTTATTTTACCTTTAGAATAAATCAAATTGATACACGAGTACATTCATTTATATGTTGATTTTACTAATACATGATTATTAGTTGACAATTACCGTACTCAGGAGAAATGCATTTTCTACAAAAACCCGAGCTACACTTCATGCTGAACGAATTTCAAGATAAATTAATACAAAAAAATGTCTTGAATAAACATTACACTAAAAATAAAACAAATAACACACTGAGTAATCATCACATTGAGTTAAAAACGTAAGTAAAGATAAGGAGAAATCTTGTCATATCAGATGTGTACTGCTTAAGTGTCCCATATGGTGGCGAAACAGCTGTCCAATGCTTCCTGAATTCTATGATGGAAACTACAAAATAAACGCGAGTTTTTAAACAGAAAGAGGAAATGAAAAAAGTATCCGAAAGAAAACCATATATTCGACATAATTATGAAATCGAAATTGATACTAGTTATCAGCTTAGTCAAAAGATACTCTACCAAATAATGTCAAATACAGACAACTGATGATACATTATGACTAACAAGTAATCACTTCATTGAGAGTAAATCGAGTCTGAAGATATACAATTTGTCAACATTCAAAAGTTGTTACTATCAATTATTCTCAATGAGAAATAGTGATCATTCTATTCGTGTTACATAACTGAAACTAGTAGCTTCACTAACAAATGTTCATTTGTTGACTGCGGATAGAAACTTGTCGATATGTCATTGAGAAATCTTTCACTTGTTGGAACAGTCAAGTCAACAGCAAAACAGGTAAAATCTTATACTTAAGGAGAGCTATTAGGTTCCAGATCAGATGAAATAAAAAACATCAATCACGGAGTTTCTACTGAACGATTCAAATGTCGAAATGTAATCAAGATATCTGTAATTCTTGGAAGTAACTCTGTCACTGAATCAAGATGAAGTTAGTTGAAAAGTTATTCAGATAATATTACGCATCTTCCCAAAACCCTTGTAATTTTCTATGATTATAAAAATGAAACCCAATAACATTGACATAAGCCAATGATGAAGAAATATCTACCGAAATAATATTGTACAATTAACTTCTCATATGATTTAGAAATTCAGCTCTTTGACTGTCTTACCATACTTTATGACACAAATAATAGTTCGAAACTAGTGGTACTCACTATAATACCAACCAAACTTTTATAATTTAACCCTTCATTGATAAGATTAACCTCCAAAAGAAAAGAAAAGAATATCTAGAGTTAAAGTTTTCAAGCTTTTGATGTTTACTAGTAAATGTGATTCACTTTGTTATCATTCAGTCTACTGGCACATGGTACTATTTATTGATATAGTTTGATCAGGAGTAAAAAAGATATCTTCTTTGATGATCATTTGCCAACCCATTCGTTAAAATCGATATTTCTCTTTTTTTCACCACGATTAAAAACAGTGACGTGAATAAACTTTAAAAACTTCTTTGTTTAAATCTTATCCTTTTATCTAACAGAAAACAAAGAATATTCTTCAACCATGGATTAATAATGTACAACAAACAAAACATGGAGATATTATGAAAAGTCAAAGTTTACGTGATCCAACTCAACCTTCATATGCACAACCATGGATATCATATAAAAATGCATTAACAGGACATTTCCCACCAAAAATACACATAAAACCAACAGAATGTAATATTTTACCATTTGATAGACATCAACCTTTTAAAGAAACTTTAAAACAAAAGCTTTCAGAAATTGAAACACTACAAGTGAATGTAACTAATTCAAAGAAACGAAATATTTCAAAACATATTATACCTTGCGTTATCAATGAAATGGATAGTAAAGATTTAGACAATTATCATAAATTCCTATGTTCACTAATTTATGATGAAGAGAAAAGATCGAATTCAGTAGTACATTGGTTCATACCAATAATGTCGTCATGTCTACTACCTTTACCCATGAAACAAAGGAAATTACCTCATATCAAATTACCATATTTATGTTTAAAGTTACCTTATGAAAAAATAGATGATGGTGATGACTATGGGGAAGAAGAACGTGAGATGCTAACTAAAAATTCTTTTCGTATTTCAGATGATTTATCAACTGAATTCATGTTAACCCCATAGAATGACTGATGACATTAAATATACAAAACAAAATTGCTTGAATTTATTTAGAAAGTTATATTTCCTCCATTTGATATTAGTTTTATACTCTCATTTGAGCAATAATTTTGGTAGCTAAATGATTTAAACAGTATTCCTGTAAATTTTGAAGTCCTCAGATTTTGAATCAACCTTCTTGAATGACTTAGGTTTTTTGAATCAGATCTGTAGGATAGAACATATAAATTGTCAAAGACAAGCGGTATAATTCAACAAACTGATACATCTTCGTTATTTTATACCTTCAGACGTCTTTGTTGTTTTGTATCATTTTGTTCTTCATTATGTTTAACATTTTCTCTAAAGATCATGCCAATAGTCACAAAACTATCCGGATTATGTAACTGAGTGTCTGACAAACATGTACTTTAGCCACAAAGTTGTTAAATTCCTAGTTGAATATTTAGTGTAAGATTGGTTCGAATCGGCTTTCTAAAATACCAACTATAGCTGCTAAGTTCGTTCCGCGGTCGTGCTGATTTATCATGATAGCATAAGTAAGCTACATTAGTTGGAATACTCATTTCTTAAGGTTCTATATTATAATGTATCTAGTAGCCAACTATAGATCCTAGGGTGAAGTCGTGCGGCCAGGTGTATCAAGGTATGGTACAGTAAAGTAACAGTAACCAGAGTGAGTTATAAATAGGACAACTGGTTCAGTATAGGAACTAGTTTCACCTAGTTTGTTTGTACAACTAATATATATAAATTATATTTGTTAGAATATTAGTATAGTGAGTTGTTACCAGAAAATTGCATAGTTCTAAGCAAATATCTATGGAATAAGGGATTTATGAAACATGAGAAAATTATAATCATCATCGTAAGCAAAACATAAATGTGAGCAAGCTGGGGCTTCAGAAAAAAGCGTGTAGTATGAATGTTGATGAAGAATTCTCACTGAAAACATTAATAATAATAATAATAATAATAATAATAATAATAATAATAATATGAAAACAGTTTGGAAAATGTAAGAACAGAATTCGACAAAATCAGGGCAGTAGTAAAGGATGGGATATAATGAAGTGTTCTTGAGCACATATTTCTTACCAAACATTGCAAACACCGGTAGGCTCTACAAATTAAAGTTTAAACCCCTTAGGATCCAGAACATAATCTCGTAAATGCTATCAAAAGATGAATCTTTCTCCAAATATCTTGAATCTCCTATATACCCCAAAAAGTCAAACCCAATTTGTCCATGGCATTTTCTGAAGATAATAAAATAATTTGTTAGTTAAATTTATTTACGTTAACAGCGCTGTTGAGGATGATTGTTATCAACCTTTATTTCTTATCGTATATAGAATTCACCAGAGAATTATTAGTTTTACAAATGAATTTTTTTCTGAATAACAAAATATATTTAAATTGTCACTAACAAGTATGATATTTTAATGCTTTTGTAATACGTAGAAAATCTTACTCTCCATATGATCACGTCGAACTGGGATTTGATTCACTCCAGTAATCTTTTCAGTGATCTACAACTAACAATATTTCGATAATGCATATGAAGACGAAGATTATCAGAACTATGTAATATATTAGTGCAATACATTTCGAACAATCTGATCACACATAGACTTGTTAAGAGCATTTATATATAAAAATAAAAAGTCAACTAGACTGGAAACGGGGTAAGAGGAGATAAGGATAATGATAAGAGTAATAATAATAATGTGAAAACAAATCACACTGGATAATAAGTCAATATTACCAGGGTAGGTTTAAGGTAGGTTGCAGAAACAAATACAATCAAGTGACCCACTAAGAGCAGAGGATAAACATCCATCGTCCTCTATTGCTAAACATATAATTGAAACAGGTCATAAGATTGATCTAAACTCGGCTTTTGTGGTGTTTTATGAAAGCGCAAAAGGGCGTATACTAAGGTTTATTGAGGCCTTAGCCATACGAAAATTCAAACCCCCTTTGTGTGTTCAAAAACCGTCAGTTCTTACCTTAAACCTACCCTGATAATATTGACTTATTATCCAGGTTTTGAATAGTGTTCACATTATTATTATTATTATTACTCTTAACATTATCCTTATCTCCTCTTACCCCGTTTCCAGCCTAGTTGACCTTTTATTTTTTATATCTAAATGTTCTTAACGAGTATATGTGTGATCAGATTGTTCGAAATGTATTGCGCTAATATATCACACAGTTCTGATAATCTTGGTCTTCTCATTACATTATCGAAATTTATCAAAGGGGCTAATTGTTTTAAACCAACAATATATAAAGGCATATTCTTTCATATTTGGATTTCTATTGCAGTTTGAATCAACTATTATCCATCACTTTATCTGTTGTTAATTTCCTTTCTAGTTGATGATATGAGATGTGGCGCATTTTAATCTGATTATGAACAACTAGTATACCGATAAGAAGCTTTGTATACAAATGATTATGCGTAACTGGTCAATTTACTGTACTTTCTGAAAAACACCTAAACAAAGACCTCCTATTGATTTTCAGCAAATACTACAAATGTCCGTGCTTTGACAACTCATATCGACTGGTATTATTTACCATGTGCTGAAAAGTTACCTACAAGGAAAAATAATGATTGTCCGAAACGAAAGCACGTATAGTGGTTCACTAAATTGGCTAGCTAGGAGCCCCGAATCCAAAACATTAGTTCATGAGGGTATTAAATGTTGGTGTGAGCCATGTTGGTAGATGTAGATTACCTGGAGGGATTCACACGACTGTCTTGACTAGTTGTTGGAGACGTTTGGCAACACGGTTCAAAAATGGTCGCGATGGGGCAGATGCGTTCACTACTTCTCTTGCCTTAACACGTGAGTTTAAAAATACTTTACACACTTTACTTTACTACTTTGTTCTTTCTTCTCGAATCTTATTACTCATCTCTGATCCTTTTTTTACTACCACTTGCACTACACTAGAATTCATTTCGCCAATTTTATCTTGTATGAAGGTGTGGTAACTTCGGCCGAAGGACATTTAAACCGGGCTCTTGAATTGTTTATTGGTTGACTGATTAGTTTTTCAATTATAAGTAACTTAAATTTAAACGGCAATGAACAATCAGTCAGTTATTTTAGATTGGTTAGAACACACTTAGGTTATACATATACGGGTATTATATGTTACATAGTTATAGAGGATCGGCAGAAAATACTTAACCTCGGTTTCATGTTAGTTAGCACTTGTCAGTGAGGCGTATCTACAATCTTGAGAAAAGTGGTCCTCTTCATAGGATTCGAACTAGCGTCACATGGTTCTAAATCCATAGTATTTTACAGTTTTAATTTTCTTCTTGATAAAAAGGTTCATATTCCGATGAGTTCACGTGAATCAGTCAAACAAGAAAATTTAATAATGAACCTTAGTATGTAACATAAACTGTTGATTGTGAATTCCGAAGCTGAAATAAATTTACCCACTGCATTTAAGGTGATTAAAACAATATGAAGGATCAATCATTGATTCATATCTTATTATACTGATTATAACATTAATTTACAGATAATCCTGTATAAAGTAATGAAAGAGTACTGATATTTCCCCTTTAATCATTCGAGCAATCATCACGCATAGCTGAAGCAATAATTTAAAAGCCATGCGCTATATACAGAGTGGATCTGTGAAAGGGTTATAATATTTCGATAGAGATCAATGTTAACCACTTTATTCATCTACATTGTATTTTAAATAGAAAATTCCTATTTCAACAGAAAAGCTTTTTGGGAGGATATTGTGAAGTTGTTGTATTCTCTGACCTGGATCGTTATGTCGTTCGGCTCTAATTGTTCTCTTCAACAATATTAACACATACAACAATAATACTGATGTCGAGAACATCAATGAAAGTTTCGCAATCAAATCATTCAGCTTAGAGAGCACAGCACTTCCAAAACCCACTTCCTGGACTACAAATATTCTGCATCATTTAAGAGGATGTTATTTACAATAAAGCTTGAAATTACATTTGGATATAATCTCCTTAAACGGATTCTAACAGACTGATTGAGTTCAGTATTGAAAATAAACGACAGAAAAATATAAACATTTACAACTAGCAATATATATCATGTGAGCTGAACAAGGTACTAGATTAGTCAATCACTATCAACGTAAAATCTGACAAGAGTTTGCTTCGTTTCAGGTTACCATACCTAATGTCAGCATAGTGAGAGTAAAACAAAGTGAAAAATAAAGAAGGGAGAATAATATCCAAACCATAAAAATATTAACACGAACAGTAATTTCTAAAGAAATAAATCATAAACACATAACATTGATACTTAGCTCGTAATTTAAAGGAAGATAGACAACAAATGCAACTGCGCCACTGTGATCAACTTCAGGCTAGATCATTCAATATCTCCGACAAAATTAGCAGCTATCAAGATTCAGTAGCCTTATGAATAACTTTGACATTTGAAATGATAGGTACTAGATTTTTAGTCTCAACATGAAGATCAACACGCGCATTCGGCTGCCAACGATTATCCTATGTATAATAAACAGTGTAGAATTTGCAAAACTATTAATAAGGAGAAATAATAAAAAAGTTAACGACCTAAATCTGTCTTATTAAAAAATCTTCAGATTAAGACGAACATTTATAATAAAGACATTATAAGACAAACACTGAATTTACAATTAGTGAAAACCTAATGAGACTAATATAAACTCAATTAAAATACTAAAATAATGTTGGTATGATTCAGAAACAATATCCTTGTGATTGACGTAATACTTCATTCAACAACAAAAACAAGCGCACATGAAAATATTTTACATTATTATGTTTTTTCCATTTGTTATTTTTTGTTATTTTATTGTAAAAACAGCAATCATGTGAATACTTAGAAGAAAAAAGGGCTAATACTTGTAATAAAGCATTAAAAGCTTCAAGTGATTTTTTCTACATAACTTTCAAGCTAAGAACCAGCAAATTTATGTTAGTGGTATATTTCTATCAAATAATTCAGTTAACAAGTTAAAATGTACCCAAACAACATAATCGTTACAATGTTTCTTTCGTGTGTTTTGTATATTCAATTCATTTAAAGATTGAATTGGTTAGTTTTAAATGGAATAGTTAGGCATAACTAGAAGTATACAACCTAAAGACTAACAAAATTAAGTATGCAGTTTTTTTAATGCATTCAATTTTAATGATGTATGATTGTAATTGAGAGGAAAATATTAACTTTTGAAGATATCACATTCACATATGTATATGTTATAATTGTGTGATTTCGATTGTCTTGCCAGAAAACAACCTCTTTTGGTAGTTTGCAGCTCAAAGAACGAAGATCTATCGAAATTGTTTATCTGAGGTACAAAACTTCTTCACCATCTTAGGAAACAAAATCATCGAAA